TCTCGCCCTCAACTTGACTACACTCACTGGACGTTGATGTGTACCACTCCCGGTCTTTCCCTGATGGACCTTCAGTCCCAACAGGTCACCGATACCTCCATACATGTAGGGTTCTGCCTATCACGTAGCTCGCCACAATTAACACATACCTCGAGATGACGCACACATTCCCTCCATCACGAGGATAGAACGTGGCATGCATGCTACCAAGTCCCGGTGGTGGAGTCAACCATCAGGCTAAGCTATTGACTTGGTCGAGAAATCATGATAAGACAGAAAATCGACACTTATTCTCAAATCTGGTACATTCAGAACACACGGTTCTGTTTGATAACATTGACAAAGCCTCTCTCCTTGCCGACACGAACAACATCTCATATGCGGTTTAGGAAGTAAAAGTCAGATACTCGATAATGATTTCCTTCCACAGAGTTGGTCTCCAGTCGAGACTCAATGTTCCGCCCCCACATTACTACGGAAACTACTATCTCGCCAACTCGATAAAGTCTCGCATGTGGCATGGAAACTAATCGACAAACCACATACGCTGAGAATTGTTGATTAGGGAATTCACACAATGACTCGAAAGATCAACATACACCTTAACCAAAAGTCTGGTTCAATGACCCCTAAAAGGACAAGGTCGGACTGAGTTAAATGCACTGTCACCCGAGAGGTGACACACACGCTGGCGCTGCATATGCGGGGCGCTGGGACGCGTGCATGTAACCACTCGGATACCAGCTACAAGGTCAAGGTTTGGCCGTAGACACTGAACTGGGGAGTTCGTGCGTTCGGTGATGGCGGCGGCAGTTCTCATGCGAGTCAACGATCGGCCACTGCAGTTGGCCTCACGTCTCTCAGCACGGCGTGTAGGCTCTGATACCAAACTGTAACACCCCACTTTAATTTTAAAGAAATTCCGGACTTTCCAAAACCAATATTAATTTTTCGAAATCATTTTCGAAATTCTATGGGTATTAATCAACGTTTTTCTTAACCCAAGTCATATCTGGGCCCACGGGATTTCATTACCCGAATTTTTCACAAGGTTTCATTACCCTGATTTTCAACATAAGTTATTCAGCTCGTAAACGAAGGCATGAAATAACCAAACACATTATGACCAATTCACATTAGGTTCATCAAAACATCCCAAAAATTAACATACTCAAACAGGAGTTTTTAAAACAGTTTTCATGTCTTAACCCAAAACAAAGTTCCAAACACTAACACATTTATTCATATGCGGAAGCATAAATAATCATAATCATAAGACCGACCCACTCGTCCTTCCTCGTCACTCGGCACCTGCTTAACCTGCATCCGTGAAGAGCAGGTGGGGATGAGCACAACATGAAAATGCGTGCTCACCACTATGCACGTATATCACATTAATAAATAATGTAAAGAAGGTATAGTTATAGCATGAACATAAATCAGTTATTCTGTCACGTCTCCTAATCACATCACAACATATTACCCACGTGTACACATCTTTCATTAGCCACGGAAAGGGGATTCATTACCCTAACTCATGGGGGTACGTGCCATACAACAAGACACGGCCTTTCATTAGGTCTTACGGAGACTTACCTCGCAAGGGTAACCGTATTACATCGACGGGGACAATCGTACCGACAGCCGAATCGGCTCACGCCGATAGGCTACATGGTTTACATGCATACTTAAATCATACCAACCCAACATTAAAGTAAACACATACGGCATAGCAAATTTTATAAGTAAACCCACCTGGTTACCGAAGCGATAGATACAAAAACACGAGTAGGCAGCGAGCTCAGCTCGTCAAACACCTACATATATTAAAATAGTCCTATAAATGACTATTCAACACATGACCAACCAATCATAACAAGCACTTAATCCAACTAAGCTCACATAAGCATTTAATCAAAGAAATCCCATTACCGAAAACACCACTTACGTTTTTCGAAACTTGACCCGTGCAGCGTTTTTGAAATCAACATAACTTTTTGTACAAAACTAAGATGAAAATGATTCAAGTTGCACTAGAATAATAAGACATGCATCTACAATTTCTATGAAGAAAATAAAAGTAAATAAGGTCATTAAGGTATTGTAAAAACAGCTAACATTCAAACATCAAATTCTGTCAAAGTATAAAATCCTACTTCATGCATATCTACATTAAAATTATCAAAACTCGAGCTACATATATCATTTCAGAATGGATCTTATCTCATTAGAAAGCTAATTAATAGACCTACAACATTCATGAAGATCACAAACTCATTTGAGCACATTTAAGTACCATAAGAAGGTCAAACATTTATTAATACATGCTGCCAGATTTTCGAAAAGTGCTTGCACACTCGTTTTATAAAAATCATAACTCACTCGATATAACTCGAATTATCAAAATTCAAAAACCCCGAGAAAGCCAACAGAAAATACTACATTTCATCAGAAGGCCTCAACAACAAATTATGGGTTTCTAATGGTCATAATTACAGCACAACAGAGCATTAAATCATGCATGTACCAATCAAAAAAATCCAACTTCAAACAAGGATTCGGTAATACGAACGATACTTATATATAACATGTGATATACGAGAACAACCGCAATAACGAGAGGGTTCGGAAATATTTACCGTCTTTGGGAAAATACGAACTCAGTTAAAGTAATCGAATGAAATGACGGGAGTTCGGCATCGGCATTTTAAATCATTTTCCTACTATTCTCCACGGGAATTCAAACGAACAACAATTCGGCTTACGCGATTAAACCAAAAATACAAACGACGATTGATAAAATAAAATCGAACGAGATATATAATCACAGTATCCATATAATAATATAAAATATAATCTCAAAATTAAGATTCGATAAATAGAATAATCCGAGAAATTCTATAAATCGAACGGGGCGTTACATTAGCCACGAAAAGGGGATTCATTACCCTAACGGTGGGGGTACGTGCCACGCTACGGACACGGCCTTTCATTAGGTCTTAAGGGACTTACCTCGCAAGGGTAACCGTATTACATCAACGGGAACAACCGTACCGACGGTCGAATCGGCTCACGCCGATAGGCTACATGGTTTACATGCATACTTAGATCATACCAACCCAACATTAATTATAATACATATGGCATAGCAAATTTTATAAATAAACCCACCTGAACGATAACAAGCGAAAGCACAACAATAACGGGTAGGCGGCGAGCTCGGCTCGTCAAACACCTACATTTATTAAAATAGTCTTATAAATGACTATGCAACACATGAAAAACTAATCATAACAATCACTTAGTCCAACTAAGCTCACATAATCATTTAATCAAGGAAATCCCATTTCTAAAAATACTATGTACATTTTTTTAAAAAACTTAAACCGGGCAGCGTTTTTGAAATCAACATAACTTTCAGTACAAAACTGGATGAATATGATTCATGCTGCACTAAAATCCTAACACATGTATGTAAGATTCTTATGAAGACACAGAAAGCAAATAAGGTCGTGTACTAGGAAATAAATCATCAAACATTCAAAACTGAGTAGCAGTCAAAAATCGAGAACTTGTAACCAACCAGACTTTAGTATTTAATAGATAACTGGAGCTACAGACATGTTTTTAATGAGATTCAAAAACTAAATGATAGCTAACTCAAATTTCTACAGCTTTGCGGAAGACCATATTGGCAAATAATCACTTTATAAATGAGTTTGGATACAAAACATTCGATTCATAAAGTCTGTCTGAGACTAAAGTATGATATAAACAGTACCTCAGTATTTATCTTCTTAATCATGTTACCGACCTCTAAATTTCATGGTTATAGTATGCTTAGAAAGCTAAGAGATAGCCCTACAACTTTCATTTAGAACACAAAAGCAGATAAGGTCTTTAAGATGGCGTAAAATCTATCAACATTTAACATCAGTTTTCTGCCAAAGAGTAAAACCCTACTTCATGTATATCTACAATCATATGAACACAACTCGAGCTATAGATATCAACTCAGCATGACTCCAATCTCATTAAAAAGCTAATCAACAGAACTATAACTTTTATGAAGACTACAAATTCACTAGATCACATTATGACACCATGAACATGCCAAACATTATATAGACTCATGCTGCCGGTTCCAGAAAAAACAGCTTGTATGATAAATTTGTAAAAATCATAACTCAATCAATATTAATCGGATTATCGAAATTCCAAAGCCTAGAGAAATATAACAAGACGAACTACAATTTATATGAAGAACACATTTTCAGAAAACAATTACTTAATATCATAACAGAGGCACCTTACCTCCTTCAAGAAAATAAAAATGATGAGAAGAAATGAAAGAAGTGTTGCTCGGTTCTTCTCCTTCTCTCCCTCTCTTGCTTGAACTCGGTTTTTATCTCTCTTTGCTAATGTTTTCTAAGTATTCAAAGGCTATTCTCAGCTAAGGAATGATACTTAAAGTATCTCATGAATAACCAAGACAAAATGGTAGAAATTATATGCAAATGGTTGTTAAATTTCTCATGTGCACATTAGGTGTTGTCTAGTTGACTTGGGTTGTCTTGCCAAGATTCTCAACAATGTGGAAGCTTAGCTGAACAAAAGGATCTGTTTTAGCATCACATGTGGTAGGGAACAAGATTTGGATCAAGATCATGTGCTCACATGAAGAAATAATATGGCTATGATCATTAATTTGCTCTTTGTTTTGGTTATTTCCTTATGATGATCACTAAAATATGAATTGTTGGTCACTTTAACTTGTAAAAATAATGTTAAGAGCCAAACTACCATGTCACATTTCTTAATTTCATCTCTCAACAGAGACCATTTAAAAAAAAAAAACACTTTTTTTCCCATTTCCATACCCAGAAATCGAAGCTCGGCCAATAATAAATAATAAAACAAAAAAGATCATACTACCGCCCACCTATGTACAACAGACAGCGACCGATGATTACGCTTATGCCCTCCTGATTTTTTTTTCTTCACTCTTGGCGGGCAAATGGGGACGTGCTCACGTCAGTTGTGCTGTAAAACGAGTCCTCCCCTCCGGCTGCATAGTACATATCCTCCTTCTCCTCGTCCCACCTCACGACCTCTCGTATGTATTTGAAGGCCTCGTCCACTGTGGGCCTCTCTCGGGCCCGTGTCTGCCAGACGAAAAGCTTCCGGCCAGTTAAGGAAGCGTAAAGGTCCTTAAACCGCATGGCCACGTAAAAGTAGGCCTGTTGGGCCAGGGACTGTGTGTTGTGGTGGGGCCTGACCGGGCTGAAGTCACTGAACCAATGGCATTTCCTGAGCGGGGCCCGGTTGACTTCTTCCTCGAACAAATCATACTTGTTGAGGACGAGGACAAATGGGGTGTCCTTAAAGCATGGGTGCTTGACCATGGACTCGAAGAAGTCCCTGCTTTGAATCATACGGTTCGTAAGGTGGGGCTCACGGGAAGCGTCTGAAGACACCCACACCTGATCATAATCGCTGAGGGCCACACAGAAGACGACCACACGAACATCCTCGAACATCTCGTCCCACTTGCAACCCCCGTTCATGCCCTTGGCGTTGACTCGGATCAGCTGGTACCTTATTTGTGAAATGAACAATTTTTTTATTTTTATTTTTATTTTAGAACAAACTAAACTAAACCATAATATCCATATCCAATTTCAAGAGTTGAAATTTTTCCTTTGGAGCCGACAATATTTCTTCCTGGCAAGGAAAACTTACTTGGTGAGAGGTGGGGGCCCAGATTCCATATTTTCTGTGTAAGTTTCTAACATTGGGCTTCGATCGTCCAATGAGAACTCCATAAAAGCCAGCCCATTACCTTGAGTCACCCCTTCAGCAAACAATATATCTTTGTCTGAAGGTTCATACTCGTTGCTCGATATTTCAACGGCCTGTGAGACCCCAAAAAAAAAAGATTTGGTAACTGAATCGAATTTGATTAAGCTTTCAAGAAGACCAGATAATATATTATTCGAAGATAACGTAGAAGCAATATCACACAAGCCCTCTCTCTCTCAGTTACACTAAAACATTCAGCTTTAAAGTGATGAAGAATATACCCTGCTCAAGAAGTACTCGGTTACGTCTGGAAGAAAGTGGAGTTCATTCTTTCTCTTATAAGTCTCCTGAATAGCAGGATCTTTCCATACTTCCTCAACAAGCGGGGATTCGCGTGTTGCTGCTGGGAAAAATGCATCCAAATCCCCAGTGGCAATTATGTGGAGCAGCCAGTCAGAAAAGTGCTTCAATCTTGGGTTGAGAGAATAAATGCATTGGTTATTTACCTCTGCAAAAACTTAAAGAAACCAAATCACGAAATGAAGTGAAAGTAG